GCAGGACATCTTCATTTCATTGTGTCCTCCCCCGTCTTATCTATACGACTGCCCATAAGTTATCATCCCCTCCACACAGTGTCTCCTCCATATCGCCGTAGATCATTTGATAAGCCATTTTCCAGTACGATTCCACCATAGCGGATGCTTTGTGAGGGATTTCATGAAACAGTATTTCCAGCGTGCACCCAACCCATATCTTTCATTTCCTTTTGCATATTTCTTCTGGATGATAGGTTCGTGGTCGTCGGTTCGTTATCAGACTAATTTGTTGCTAATCCCTCTAGACCATCTGATCTTCAGTACCAAGGAAAAGCAGATAGTGGTGGATAGATGTCTGAAATCTGTGGAGAATGCTTTCCATGACAATCCAAGTCCCTGAACCATTTAGAAAAATGGACTTTGCATTGTCGTTCAAGAAACGAATCTTGCTCTTCGCGCTGATATGGATATACATATACAGTGAATATTCAAAACAGAAAGTATGTAAGGCGAAAGTGGAAATGTGGGTTATAACAGTTTAGCACAGATCGATAACGGCGATGAATAAAAGAGTTGTTGAACAATCCGCTTATGTTTCAAAACTGTGGCTTCTATATTTCGTTGGCCTAAGCTTCCGCAATACAGAGGAGTCACACCAGTAATGGTTTCGGCATCTCTTTGTAACCACGAGAGAATACTATCCTGAGTGGTTACGAAGAAGTGGGAACGAATCTGTAAGAAGCCCAAAAAATGAACATCTGATAGATGCTGGTCTTCGTATCTCTACAGCTTCTTCCATTCGAAGTTATCTTTGAGACGTTATAATAAGATGTCCAAATCATTAAATGTCCGACTCCTCTGGATCGCTATTGCTTTGACCACAGAAATATAAATGTCAGAGTTTTGAAGATAGGAGCGGTTTGCTTAACAACTCTTTCATTCATCGCCCTAATCTGCATTTGCATGCAGAAAACTAATGCACATTAGGATGAAATGTGGTCTCACAGTTTCAGTTTTAAACATTAAACTGACTATGAAACGAAAAGTCCGATGGAATGTAATCAACAACCGTGGAAGCTCTTTCACTGTGCACTTCATGAACGTTACCATTCAAATGAGACAAAACAGAGTGTCTTATGCACTTTGTTCGGCTTTTCCTATAGACGAAAGAAGATGATCGATAATGCGTTTGTTGACCTGTCCTGTTATTCGTCCTGCGTAACTTGCCCCTCAGGAACAGCTGAACTTGTAAATACAGACAGAAGTAGCACAACTATTCGGCGAATCTTTTAATTAACGAATCGATATTACTTGTCAGGTAGATAATATATAAGGATGGCAGCAGTATTATTATTAATATTATCCCCTTAGGTTCCGAGTGAAAATTACGGCTTCAACAACACACTTCGACTTTATTCTATCCTCTGCTTTCCTCTTCAGCTGGGTCCACGATTGCCTATAATGTCTCATTTACTTCTCGCCCCACGATCATCCTACGTGTCACTCTTGGGTACACGCCCTCTCGTCGCTTCCCATTGGGATTCCATTCGAACGGTGGCCTGTTTTTCTTGCAATGTCATTCAACGGCCTCCTCAACGTATACCCAATCCATCAGTATTTTCTCATACATAATTGGCGACTAATCGACTCTCGGTTGGTTTGAATTTAATTGGTGGGTGGTGACTAGCAGCAGAATCCAGGATGCGCATTTCATCCTATTTGCTACTGATCATATGGATGTACTTGCATTACCCAATGAGTGATGATGTTCCCACCGAGGCTCAAACCCAGTGTCTATAGTTGATTTGTTCACTACCAGAGCTTCTTGTTGCTAATTCTTTCTCGCCGGCCACTTGATCTTCACTTTAGAGCCAATGAAGGCGGCTGTTGATGAAAGTCTTCAGTAGCCAGTTGGAAACCCTTTTCATAACGCGCAGTGCAAATTTCTGACGTATCTAGAATAAATGACTGACTTCACATTTGTGTTGCTTGATTGCAAAAGATTGCCAAACCGATTTTGAATTGATGAAGGCATATCACGCCTTTCCGATTCTGACTGGCTTTAACATCTTTATCGGCTCCGCTGGCTGCGGTTGAAAACGTGCTTTCCAGGTAGGTGAACTAAGTATCATTTGTCTAAGCTCTCCCGTTGATGGTGGTTGCTGTTGGTTGTTGGTGTTGGTGCGTGGGTATATTCGTCACCCCTGTGTCATCTATGTTCATCTGGAATCCTGTCTTCACTTCCTGCCTATTCAGACAGTTTGTTGATTTTTGCTCGCAAGCCTTCGAATTAGTGTGCAATTATACATATATCATATACATGCTAAATCCATATCTTCTACAGTCTTATTATGGATGCTCCAGCGTATTCCCCTCTCCTAGTTCCCCACGCATAGTGTGACGCATAATCCAATCCACCACAATTAAGAATATCATCGGTGATAATAAGCAGGCAGCCTTGTCTTACTCATGTATTCACTTCGAACACCTCGTTGAGTTTTGTGCTGTGGATCATCTGACACGTAGCATTATCATATAGCTAATTGTTGAGTGGAGTTGATAAAGACTTGGATGCTGCACGCCGTAGTGTAGAAGTAGTCAGTCAACGCTGTCTGTTGGAAGCTTTTTCGAAGTCGATGAAGCTGTTGAAATAGAGGTTTGACTGGAATTCTATGCCTTGTTCTGTGATGACGATGTTTAGAGTTGAGATTTGATCAGCAAATGAATTGCCTTTCCTGAATCCAGCTTGTTCCTGTCTGGGGGAGTTCAGTATCCAGTGCATCTTTTATTCTCTCCAGTATGATGCGACTTGGCGTGGATAAGAGCATGATTCGACAACATTTTTCTCAGAGGCGGGCCCAAGTCGCCCTGCTTCGGTAGTTTGACTAGGTAGACAGCCTTTCATCCATTCAGTAGGCAACTTAGCTTACTTTCAGGCCTTTTGCAGCATATCTCCTGTAGTCTCGAGGTCTATTTACAGTGCTTCATGGAGAATTCTGTCTGGCTATGCTGCCTTCCTGGATGAATTTCAGTAGCTTGTTTGCATACAAGATGTCCCCATTCTTGGTGTATTCGTATCCACTGGCAAGCAGTTCTGTGCGTCTTGTTGGCGGGGATGGTACTTATGGGCGAGTTGCAGGCGATGGTCGATTCAGGAGTCCTTTGAAGCGATCAGCCAATTCACTGTCTTATATGTGTTGCCTCCTTGGTAGTCAGGTTTCCCTGAACATCTTCTATAAGTTTCATCATCTGTATTGATTTCTTCCCGAGTAGAGACTTGGTTATCTGATATAATGTTCTAGTGTCTCGTCTACCTGCGGCCTGCCTGTTCTGCTTCAATCGCCAGAATGTCGTCGAATGTCTTTCGTCTATTCTGGAACTTTTCTCCACTTCTTCATCCAGTGAAGTTTACACTGAACGCAGCTTCTCCTTCTATTGTTCAGTGGCAGCAGTATAGGTCAATTTTATTGTTTTAAGTAATCTTAGATGTAGAGCTTAACAAGGAATTGAATTAAAGATTCGGAAATAACTCTTCCTCCATATTTGTTGTCCATTTTACTTTAACATATGCAAAACTCATGAAGACTCTGCTGATGGCGCATGGCCAGACGTAATAATTCGCTGTAGAATCGAGTTTTTAGCAGCTCTTCAGTCTTTTCCGACGGTCATGCTGGTAGGCTGTCATAAGCGTGTCTAGCCTAAAACCTCCCCTTAAGGTCTGAAAACTTGACAGCGTAGAAGGAAGCCAACTTATACATTCATTTTCAGTGAGACGTTTCATTTCATGGAATTCGTCACAGGAAGGCACATTTGACCTCATGTAAAGCATTGATTCGCATCTCCTAAGCGCATACACTCAAAAGAAAATAGAGTAACCTGGAAACAACATCTTCGAGCATTCATACAGATGGGACTTCCACTGTTCCACCGTCTGAATTAAAATACAGCTCGAAATAGAATACAAAACTGAACCAACTGATCGATAAAGCTTAATAAATTTCCACGATAAGACTGGAGTGCTGGTCTATCATTCAGCAGAATAAAATGAATTCAGTCGTCTCCTCGTCTATGGAAACCGTCCTTGCACACACACACACACTGACGACTGCAACTCTAAGAGTGAACTGAAAGAGATTCACGACTGCATTCCTCGAGAATTGTTTTCCCAGTAGGCCGAACATTCAACACAGCATGTGAAGTAAATAATGAAGTGAAGGACTTCGCGAAGACAACACTACTCAAACCGGGCTATTCGGTTCATACAACTTCACCGAGATGGAATTCATCATAAAGCTGTGCATCGCCCACTTACACAACGATTCTGTCTCCATATTACATAGTTAGATTAAAGCGCTGCGTGTCGATGCCCACAACGCGTGTTGATTCGATCAACAAGTCTTCAGTCATCAATCTCTAATCCCACATTGTTTAATGAGATTTCAAAAATATCACATTGGCCAATTCTATTGGATGGTTTATTGTGACTACTTGCAGTGCTGTTGGTGAACGGTCATTGCTGAACCTCTTATCTCACGACCGTCTAATATTCTAGACCCTCTCAAGCATTTCGCGCTGATATTTCAATTGATCCCACTGCCCTACCCTAATCTATAAACTTCATCTGGTCACCACACACTGATGTCTACTTAACCAACATGTTCACATCCACAGATTCGATGTAAATACACACACAAGTGAACAAAGCAACACTGTCGCATTCTGCATCACTGTTACAATCGTCATCATGACTGACTAACCTCGCACTGTGCAACGCTGGAAATGGACTTTTCAGAAGGGAAAAAACGATCAACTCGTCTAAATATGTGTATATTTGTGAAAACGAAAGTGGGGTTACTTAGGTGGGAGAAGAAAGAGAAAGGGAAAAAGTAGAATGACGCTCTACCACATCACTCGCATGATTTACAAAGTCACATTTTAGTGAAAATATGCGCACACACTGAATTTGTGTATGCGTGTGTGTGTGTGAAGTGGAAGGAAACGCCTCGTTTCGTGGTCAATCAGGCTGGACAGAATCCTGCTCCATTGACTGGTTGGACATTCCAATTTAGTCTGTTGAGAGAAGGAAGAGAGTCGTGTTAGGATCAATGAATTGATCAATCAATAGAGCAAGCGAGGTTGATGTAGTGGATTCACGTACAAATAAGCACTCAATAATGAAAGCAGTACAGATTGGCGTGATATTGTGAAGTGAGTGAGGTTATGAGTAGGCAGGTTTTATGTTTCCAATTGAGAACTGCTGCACAGAACACTGACTTTTCCTGTATTAAACCTCGTCATTTACTCTGACACATTCATCGCCTCTATCGTTTCTTCTGCCCCATCCTAATCTTGTTACTCCTTACAATGTCAGAATTATTCTTCACGTCCTCATCACCTACCACACACTTCAACCTTCATTTATATGAACTGATACTGCTGTTATACAGAGAAGTCGAGATCAGTCCGCACAAAATTCAGTTACATCTATGGAGTACTGCTCACACATGCTGACATTACAACTTGATGTCGATGTGAGAAGTAATTTGTATTGGAAAGATTATTCGTTAGCCGGTATCGCGTCATTTTATACAGATGCATTTGGAGAAATTGGATCGATAAGGAATGATGGTGGCGATGAGCAGAATGAAATGGAATGAATGCGGTGGAGTGCATTGGAGTGGAGTTAAGTGCGGTGCAACTCACCTTCTCATTCGACAACGAAGTTCACTCAGGCGGCCACCGAAATCGTCTGTGCTCGTTCTCTCTTGAGACCAGAGTTGTTCAGCTATTGCAGCAGCGTGAGGCCTTTATTGGATAAGATATGTAAAGGTGAGTAAAAGCAATCAGATGTACTCGAAAATAGTACGAGTTATATGAATGGTGATATTTCAATTTAATTAGAGCTGGTAGAGATATGGTTGTGAATATCTCTCTCGATGTCAGCGACAATTCCAAGAAATAACAACTTCACCAAGTCTCTACACTGTCGTTTGTAGATGCAAGCCATTCTTGCATCTGTTCGTCTTTGAATGAGAGAGAATATCACCTTGATTGTAGAGGTTCACATTTTCTTATCCTAGTGAAAACTTCTACCTCTTTGCTAACTTCCAATCAGTCACCCCTTCTAGGATACATCTCGCATTACGTAATACATTTTTGGAGGACAAGTTTTACCAGTATCTGATTGTTCTAATGATTTCTCTATTAAATATGAATTGCGACTGTACATCTCATGAAAATGAATCGTCGTAAAGAATATTTTCTTCGCTCTTTACACCTTTTCCTTACAAAATCTGCTTTTCAGGCTACGATTTTCAACCAATTCAGAATCGATGCCTTTTCCACCTGTAGTCATACAAGTAATCAAGTTGATAAACTATGAATGTTGAATAGCAAAACACATCATACATCTCTTACCATGAAACCAACATCAGGTTCACATCATCCACGTAGTCGCCGGGAATCACACCTTCTCCTCCAATTACCAGTGTCGATTTCTCTGAACTACCTGAAGCAATTGGAAATGTGGAATTCAGTTAACAGCGTGAATGTGACAGTGGAAATTCAATTGTATGATTGTGACTGAGGAAGGGAAGTCAGTTTGTGAATGCATGTTACTCTGTGTGACTGTTGTGTTTATGTGCGTGTGTGTGTGTGTGTGTGTATTTGTACCTTCTGGTGAATGGATCGATTGTCCACATGGACGCTTGACTCAGTTTAGTTATTCACTTCCCCCCACACACACACACACACAGATTTTCCTCACGTATCATGGATATCTTTCTGCTAGATATAAGCCAGGAATCGGCGAGGACTATGGTCTGATGACTTTATAGATCCCTCGATCTATATGTCAGTATCTGAGGTTACGTTTAGGTGACAACGACTTGCAAGAAATCATTTTGTATTCATTCATTTTGTCCTCACACTGATAAGTGAGATAGGTGGTTGTGACAACAGAGATGTTTCGATGGATGTTTATTTCGTAATGTGAAGTGCTGAGTGCGTCACATTTTACTCATCACGTAGAAATGTTGAGATGAAACAAGTGATCGAGTGAAGTGAATGATGATGAATAGTGGTCATAACAGATATGTCCACTTGAATCATTACTAGAAATCTGAGAGGAAATAATGAATCCCCTTGAAAATTTCTAAGTGATTCATCTGGGAACCTCATGAATCTCACAAAGACTCACTTCCCTGAGTTGAAATAAAAACAAACAATTGATACAACTCGGAATTACCTTCGAAATCCAAGGACCACACTCGTAGAACGCTCGCCAATCATCTCCGACACCCACATCACTGAAATTCCAACACGACGATATGAGAACTTTGAATCCCGCTTCCGTGATCTCCTCAACACTCTTCTTCCATCCTTCAGATTTGTGCACTTGAACAATCACTTCCTTGTCACTCTAAACACAGAAGAAGAATTCACCAGTCAGTCGGTAATTCAGTGGGTCACATGTTGATTGTTTTGATTGATGAGGAGTAGGTGGCGTGAGCCATTCAGTTATTATTAGATGGAAAACATCAAACTCTGGCACATTCGAATTAGAAACTAAGAAATATTTCACAGGGTGAATGATGAATGTTTTCAGTTTATCATTTTAGTAGTGATGGGGATTTTGATGAACGATGTCATGCAGTAACCTAGGATTTCTACAAAATCCTCAGGTGGTGAAATCTGTTTGCGTCAAACTTGATTTGTGTGGAATGTCTAGCATGTGTGCAACGGTGTTCATGAATAACCTTACTCTATTGAGTAATTCTCACTCAGCGATTCACAGAATTATTTTCCTCTCGAAAAGGCACAGTCAGTTGAACAGGCTTCGTGACTGAGTTTTAGGCCGAATTAGATTCCTGTGTTATGTGAATGCCTTGCACCATCACAGGGAATCTACTCAATAATTCTCGTCAAATAGTTTGTCTTGTCATGGATTTGAGTAGTGAAACTGATGGGAGAAGTTATCTCAGTGTTAGCTAACGCCTAAAGACAAGTGGTCGATATTCGGATCACAAACACCATTGGTTAACCTCAAAACACTGTGGAATTTCATTTCCAGTGGTTAAATGACAGTGACACCAATCACGCAGTCTGAATGTTACAATAGAAATATGAAAATTATTGATGCAGTCATTCGGTATTTTAGTACTCTCTACCACTAAGTAACAGTACACGATTATTAGTCCAGTTTAATTATTTACTCGGAAAGTTAATTCGACATACACATGTACTCACTGCACACAATCTAAAACAGATGAGCATTATCAATATACACTCACACGAAATCCATTGTCATATACATCCTGCCAAACAATCGGAACCATTGCAGTACCAGATTCCAACGATGACGATTTGACAATTTCTACAAGTTGTTCCATGTAGTAGTTTTCCAACTGTGAGTAGTCAGTGTCGAATTGTTTCTCCTGCATGAAATTTGTGATGTCGGGATTGGACTGCCTGTGAAACGAGAGTGAAATGAGGGAATCGTTTGCTATTGCGTATGACAGACGAGTATACTGACCGAAATTAGATGACCAATGTAATCGAATCATACGACTTCACACTGTTCCTCTCCTCATATGCTAATCTCCATCGCTCTCCCATTCCCTCGATCACTTTACACATATTCCTTCCTCTCGATCATGACATTATTCTCCACTGATCAATAACTGCTCATAGGATTGCATCGAGTCCAAGTAAGAGAATACACCAAAATTTTTATTCAACTCAGCTACCTTATATCTATTTCATCGCATATCATTTCAATTCGCTCTCTTGCTCACTCTCTCCCTATCTTTGTATTAATAATAATAATAGTGATAATAATAATACTAATGACGACACCAACAATAAAAAATCTAAATCATCACTAGCAATTCTATACAAGGAAGGAACACCGGGAACCACGTTATGCAGAATTCTTAACAAGGCATTATTTTATTATTTTTTATTATTATTGCTCCCTTGGGTTCCTAGTGGAACATAGGGCTTCAACTACACGTCTCCATTTTCTTCTGTCTTCTGCTATACTTTTCGCCTGCATCCATATTAGTCCATACTGTTTCAACTCCTCTTCACACGATCTCCTCCATGTCACCCTTGCACTGACGTCCTACACGCCGCTCCCCTTTCGGTTTCCACTCGAGGGCTTGACGCGCGATATCACCCAGCGGTCTCCTCAGCGAGTGACCGATCCATCTCCACTTTCTCCTGCATAATTGTTGGCCGATTCGTTCTTGCTTTGTTTGTTCCCATAGTTCCTTGTTGGTGATTCTTTCCGCCGGCCATCTGATCTTCAGTATAGAGCGAAGACAGTTGTTAATAAAGGTCTGCAACCTTTTGGAAATATTCTTTGTGACCCACCCGCCAAGTTTCTGATCCGTATAGAAGAACTGACTTTACGTTTGTATTGAAAATTCGACGATTTTGTTGTTGATGCTGAGTGACGAAGATTTTCAGATTGGTTTCAGGTTGATGAATGTGTTTCTCGCCTTCCCGATGATTCTCGATTTGACATCCTCGTTGACATCCTCCTGTAGTTGGGACAATGCTCCCTAGATAAGTGAATGAAGTAACCTCTTTCAAATCCCTCCCGTTGATGGTGATTGACGTTGGATGTTGTTGCTGTTGTTGGTTGGTTATTTTCATAACCTCCGTCTTGTCTATGTTCACCTGGAGTCCTGTCTTCTCCGGCTGCTTCTTCGACCAGTTTGTCGGTTTTCGCTTGTAAGTCTTCGATTGTGTGTGACATCAAACACAAATCATCCGCGAAATCCAGGTCTTCTAGGTTCTTCACGTCGGTCCAGGATATTCCTGTCTTCTCGTTTCCCACTGTCTGACGCATAATCCAGTCAGTCCACCACAATTAGGAATATCATTGGTGGTAATAAGCACCCTTGTCTGACTCCTGTGTTTACTCCAAACGCCTCGCTGAGTTTTCCGTTGTGGATCACTTGGCAGGTGCCGTTGTCGTACAGCTGTTGAATAAGGTTGATGAATATTTGGGGTACGCCATAGTACTCGAGTAATTTCCAAATTACTTCACGATCAACGCTGTCGAAGGCCTTCTCAAAGTCTATAAAGTTGAGGTAGAGGTTTGATTGCCATTCCATGCTTTGTTCTGTGATGATGATGCGTAGAGTTGCAATTTGGTCAGTACATGATTTGCCTTTCCTGAATCCAGCTTGTTCTGGTCGGAGTTCTGTCTCCAGTGCGTCCTTTAATCTCTCCAGGATGATGCGACTCAGGATTTTACTTGGCGTCGATAGGAGCATGATTCCTCGCCAGTTCTTGCAGAGTAGGCGTAAGTCGCCCTTCTTTGGTAGTTTCACGAGGTAACCTTTCCTCCAGTCAGTAGGCACCTTTCCCTCCTTCCAGACCTTTTGCAATAATGGAGTCAGCATGTCTGCTGTCGTCTCTGGGTCTGCTTTCAGTGCTTCAGGGGGTATTCCATCTGGTCCGGCTGTTTTTCCAGCTTTCAGAAGTTTGATTGCATTCAAGACTTCAGCTCTCGTTGGAGGATTGGTGTCAACTTGCAGTTGTGTGTGCGCTGTTGTTGGTATTTCTGGACGGGTTGCAGGTGGTGGTCGGTTCAAGAGTCCTTTGAAGTGATCCGCCCATTGTTTAATCTGTTTTTCTTCCTTGGTAATGGGCTTCCCTTGGCTGTCTTTTATAGGTTTCGCTTGTGTTGGTCTCTTCCCGGATAGAGATTTGGTTATCTGATATAGTGTCCTCAGGTCCCTTTTGCCTGCTGCCTTCTCAGCTTCAGTGGCGAGGTTGTCGTAGAATCGTCTTTTGTCCTTCCTAGCACTCTTCTTCACTTCTTTGTCCAATGCTTTGTAAGTTGAGCTCATCGTCTCCTTCTCCTGTCCGTCCTTGCATTGAATCATTTTCTCTTTCACCATTCTCCTCTCTTCTATTAATTTCCAAGTGTCCGTTGAGAGCCATTCCTTGTCTTGTCTCTTCTTTCTTCCTAGAACCGTTGAACACGTTTCGTTGAGAATCGCCTTCAGAGACTTCCAATGTTCTTCCACGCATGATTCTTCAGTGATGTCGCGTAGTGTTTCCTGCTTTGCTCTGACAGTTGCAGTGAAAGTGTCTTTTGTGGTTGTGTCCTTCAGTAATTGAGTGTTGAACTTGCATTGTGGCCTATCCCCAGCTATCCTCGAGGCTTTTAGTTTCACCTTGAAAGTCCCTTCTACTAGATAGTGGTCTGAACCCACATCTGCTCCTCTCCTTGACCTTGTGTCCAGTAGGCTCCGTCTCCACTTTCTTGAAATTGAGATGAAGTCTATTTGGTTTTTGGTGTTTCCATCTGGTGAAATCCATGTCGTCTTGTGTATATCCTTGTGTTTGAACACACTACCACCAATCACCAAATCATTGAAGGCGCAGAAGTCTGAGAAGAGTTCACCATTGTCGTTCATTTCACCGAGGGCCTCACGACCCATGGTGAGTTCTCTTCCTGTGTTGTCTCCTCCCAGCTTCGCATTCATGTCGCCCATCAGGATTTTGATATCGCCATTTGGGACGTTGTCCATTATTGCTTGTAGTTGTCTGTAGAACGCCTCCTTCTTCTCTTGTTCTGAGACGTTTGTAGGCGCATAGCATTGAATGACTGTAACTTTCCTTCCTTTTGAGTTGAACCTGGCTGTCATTATCCTGGAGGAGATTGGTTCCCACTGCATGAGAGCTTTGGTTGCTGTTGGTGACATCATGATGGCCACTCCCTCGGTGTGCTCATGGTTGTCCTCTAGGTGGCCGGAATAGATTACTGTCTCTCCAGTAGGTAGTTGGCACCTTCCAGTTCCGTTCCATCTGCTTTCGCAGATTCCCAACACTTCTATTCTGTACCTTCTCATTTCAGCGGCTATCTGGGCAGCCTTTCCAGTTTCGTACATTGTGCGAACATTCCAGGTACCCATCCTTATGTTTTTAGAATTTTTAATATATTTATTCGTTGAAGTTTCTATAGCGATTTGGTTGTTTTACGCGGGTGGAGTTGCTAGCACCACGCCCCAACCCTCCCTCTTTACCCGGGCTTGGGACCGGCGAGAAAACTAGTAAGCTAGTAGCCTAGCAAGCTATTATCTGGCATGCAGGAATAAAAGTGACTGGCATTCAAGCAAACCACAAACTCAATTAGAAACAAGCTTTGTCGGTTAAAGGATCAGTCCTGTGGAGCCTTTGAAACAAACCGATTTAGTTTATCTAATGCCCTGCCTGCTGGAATGATTGTCAGGTGAAATACATAAGTAAAAGTAATAGGACAGAGGCAGTCAGACCAGTGGAGCATGAAGTCCTAGCAAAATATGGATTAGTTGACCAGAATAAGATAAGAAATGTAGAGAATAGTTCAGCTACACCACTCACTACGTGCAGTTACACACAACCATACAATGGGATGGGATAAGATGAAAGTTTTAAAATCTAATGTAACATAAGAGTGGACGGTGAGATTGATAACGGAAGCTTTGTTTATCAAATCAACTGAGTGAAATGACGTGTAATAGGAATGATTCAACACCTGTCCACACAGATATCTGGAAAATTGTACTACCCATACGACAAATATGAGAAGACAAAGAAAACTACAAAACTCAAGTTTCGACCTCCGTGTGATTATGATTGATATGATTATGAACAATAAATTCTGTTCGGAACGTCATCCAGTAAATAATACTGTTTTGCTCACTGTGTGATACATCTAATAAACAAACTAATATGGAATTTCATACATTTATTCCCCTTAATGAATTTGAACAAAGCAAGAACTACAGTTTTAGCAGAATAAAATTTTATTCTGCTAAAACTGTAATATGGAATTACTTACTACTACAGTGCTCAAGTTTTACACATATATTAACTCTGATATTCAGACTGTGTAATTCAAAACATTGTGAATAGTGTGTGAGGAATGCATTGATTGAGTGAATCAGTGAAACGGTGCAGGATAATTTTATGAGTGAAAACTCACCAGCATGTGAAATCCACATCATCACCACCCAAATGAATGTGGTTGTCAGCAGAAAATACACTGAGAATTTCATGGTACAAATTTTCAATGAAGGTGAGATTGGTTGGATTGACAGGACCGAGTATCTGATTTTCTTCTTTGTCATGAGTGTGACAGGGAGTGAGTACATCAGGATAGCCATTTCCCCATGACTGTGTATGTGCTGTGAAATCAGAGAGATGAAATATAAAATGTGGATGATTACTGATGCTGACAGTCATGAAAAGAAATTTTCTGATTTGGAAGCTTTCATTTGACCTGAATGCAAGTATGATCGTGAGTTGAAATCTATCGGAGCTCATGAGGTAACTGTTCCGTGGTATGCAATGGCATCTGAGATTTTATTGGAGATGATCCATCTCTCCTTTATTTCTCTTGTAATCTTAGTCATTTTCCCTTTCCGTCTCAAATGAGTCTGAGATTTGCATCCGGAGCATCCTGTAGACAGTGGGTATTCGATGGCTGGTTCTGCCAAACAGACACACTGTGAACGATGGAGTTACACTTTTTACGAAATAATCTGTATATATATATAGCGCAATTCTTCTTAATCGCTAGTAATTTCAGTGACTTTATCACATTCACAAACAAAAACTCTTTGAATAAGTGATCCCCCATATCGGGATATTTGCCAGAATGAATTGATCGCATCATGGTAATTTGGTATCACTGTGGATATGTTGCTATCAGAAGAAATCCGCACTGATAAATTGTATTCAGGGATCCTCTGTGGAATAAAAAGCGTTTTTTATTGAGTCGACTTACTTATAATTTACAATATCACTCAGACAGTCGGGTTATTCATGAATAATCGCTACTCAAATATAAATGAAAAACAAAACACGCAGTTCAGCGAAGAGTCTCTTTTCAGGGAATTCATTTGACAAACTCTAAACCATCAGTTTTAGTGAATTCAGAAATCACAACCAAGTCATGAATGTTCAGGGAGTTCGAATATCACCGTGAATACTAGTGTAGTAACAGGAGTATTCATCGAAAACACGAAATGGATTTGAATATTTCAATACAAGCGTGGCAATATTATACTCACCTGGTGTATCGAACTCCGGGATTATTCGAATTCCACGAAGACGCGAATACTCCAGTAGATCAACTATCTCATTACGCTGATACACATAAACCTCAGGATGATATGCACCCTGTAGCCACAGTCCCAGTTGATTACCTTAATTCAACAAGTCTCATCAATCTCACTCACCTTGTCTGAAAGTTCTGGATATGTGGAGGAGACGTATGGGAATGATTCAGTGTCTGTGATGTGCCAGTGTAGAACATTCATTTTCACCATGGCCATTGCATCCTAAAATGTGTGTATGTGTGTCAGTGTGTGTTAATGTTTCATGTCTCCCTCGATTGGAGGTGAATGATGACTTACAATGAACTTGTGGATTTCTCCAATGGTGAGGAAATGTTTCGATGTGTCGAGCATGAGTCCACGATGTGGAAATCTGGGTGAATCTTGCACTATGAATTTTCTTATGATTTTCTGAGATGGAAGAAATGAATGAATGTGAGCTAGTGAAACGAGACTATCTCTGACTTACTGCACCACAGTCATCACTGTATATGTGTTGTAACATGGTTTCCAATCCACGTAGGATTCCCCATACTTCGTTAGCTGTGAAACTCATGTCATCTCCTATGAAAGCAATGGAATCTTTCGATGTCTGTGTAGAGAAATGCATGTGATTACTTACATGATTCATCCATGGTATTTGATGGCCTCAGTACTCCTTCTCTCTCATCGCATCCTCCAGTAATTGTCAAATAAATTGTAACGAACATGCACGAGGTTTTGTTTGCAGTTAGTTGTGGAAAATCTTCTTGATGAACGCGTCGTTGAAATCTTTTGATAGCCTCCTTTAGGGTTATACACGAATGATAATTCCACGGAATTCAATAGGTTCTTTGATAATACAATACTCGTTATCGACTGTATACTTCGCTGGCATGGGTACGATAGAGAGAGACTGATGGATTATCAGAGATGAGAGAGTTAACAGGATCCACTGAATCATGACTAGAATCTTGACTGATGGTTTGAGTGAGAGCTGACAGTTTTAATCTTGTCAACGGAGCTTTTAAGTCTGATGTGTGTGCATATCGAGATAATGCTGATTGGTCGATAAGAATTATGAGAACAGTCTGAGAGATGGAGAGAGATAGACAGACAGACAGACAGACAGATAGAGGAAGAGAGAGGGGGTGACTGTGTGCATGAGATATGTGTAGTGACTATGCTCTTCTTAATATTGAACTTCACATTATTGTGAGTGACTGACAGACTGGCTGTGTTTGAACGTCGAAGTTCACACAGAAGTACAGATGTTTGGGTTACCACTGCTGATTACCTCACAAAGGCAGAGATAAAATAAGCAGGAATCGAACGAAAACAGATCGGGAAGAATTGCGATAAGGCGAAGTGTATGAAGGAACGAAAGCAGCATAATAATAAAAAAGCTTTCTTCCACACAATATGGGAACACATAATACAGAAACTACCAGCGTATTCATTTCCAAAATATTTCCTCTTCACACAACATTTATATGTTAAGTAATAATCTGAAGTAAATCATGTGATGTAGCTTTGTTGCATATGAACACAGAACCAATGTTGCAATTTGTTTCTTCATTTCCTTGAAGAATTGCACAGTTGTCAGTGGGAAGGTAATTTAATATGCGCGTGACTTCATGTAAAAAATCATCTGATATAACTGCATGATTTAAAACATCCGAAATCCAGAAGAGTTTAGGCATTTTGATGGACGGAAATTCTGGTAGCCCAACGATTCACTCAGGTTGATGATTTTTGATAGAAAGTCAACGATTTTCACCTACATCAGATATAGTCTTCCTCCAATAGCTCTTAGCATTCTGAGGACCCCGAACAGACAGCCTACATATCTCTGCGTGACTCGAACCAATTGACACACAGATTCCATATACTGAATCCAGGTGTTGAATTGACTATCCCTGACACCTTTCCAACCTAATCAAATGTTGGCTAGTACAGCCAGTAGTGGAAATATATAGCTCGGGATGTGCAAAACCAGTCCTAGCCATCTCAATCAGTATAGCCACACTATCAAATCAACAAACTTACTCTCCTCATCTGACACTGTACGCTTAACCACCTCACTATTTCTCACGCTATTACATCACATAACACGAGTGGTGGAACAGAAAAATTTGTGATCAGAGATTCTTGTTTTATCGCTTCCCGATATCTTCTGCATGAGCCGAATACGTCTGGATAAGCGTTTCAACTAACGCTGTTTTACACTGGACTGAACAGGTGACACGTTAATTTTGATAATGTCCAGCCCATGTGAGCTTCCTGTGTGTATATCGTCTTACTGACTCATTGTGATGGTGGTGGTTGTTTCCCTACATGCAAATGTTAAACGTAAAATGAAATTAAACATAATCTTAACAGCCAATTTCTCATACTCCTTCCACGCTCTATCTGTCTGAATTTGACATGTGAAACATCTTCAACTTTCGCTTTACACTGACTCATCCATTGTGGATTAAATAATTCGGAAATGGGTCGCAGTGATAATGATAGTAATAACAACGTGAATGCTAAGGGATGGATATACAGACAGACTGAATATTCGTCGAAGAAATGAAAATAATAGAAAAGGCTTCAACAGTGCTATAGTATAATTCCATTATAGGTAAAATTTATTTTAATAAAGTCTCGCAGTGTTTGTTATACAGTAATATTTACTGATGACCACGTTTCCAGCACAATTTATTGCCACTCATAATCATATCAAGACATTACTTATACACAACTTTATAACTTTCTTTATATAATTCCATTATTTTCCATAGCTTGACTTGATTGGTAGTTGTATTTTCCGTATTTCCGGTATGGGTGATGAGTCATTCCTATTGCATGTCTTCGGTGTAGACTCGATGAACCAGGCAGGATTCAGTTATCAACCTCTCACCCCACCTACATAGATTACATCTTAGAAATGTTAACCCTGTCCCACCCTATTGTGTGGTTGTGTGTTAATGCATGCAATGCAATTGCTGAGCTTTTTTCTAAATTACTTATCATTTCAGGGTCAACCATTCTTACCTCAGCTAAATTCTTATGTTCCGACAATCTGACTACCCCTGACCTACTAGTTCGATCTATGTAGGTGACTTAACTCACAGTTATTGCAAGGTATTTTGTAAATTATATAATTTTGTCAAATTGGGTCAACCGACAGGGTCCTTTAAGCTACAGAGCTTGTCCCTGCCTGAGTGAGTTTGTAGGTTTGAATGCCACTCAAATTTCTGCTTTATTAAGAATCCTAAGTAGGGTTTCAGATCTCCCCTCCTCATATGGTATAACAGTAGATAACTTATATTCTCTCTCATTTATGTTATCATTAGTGGTAGTTTCACAATTATTTTCATTTCGCTTTTGACCTTTTCTGATCTTGCTAGTGAATTTTGTAGCATAGTTATTTGATATGAAGGCCTCTTCTTTATAAAAAACCAACGCATTCGGCTAATAGGTACTTAGACTTTAATTCATCTCATTTATCAACTGTTAAGGCAGGCTTAGTTAACTGTCTAACAGACTAAGTGGTAGCTTTTAAGTAGTACAAGAAAAGACTAAATGACGAAATAGGAAAGATAGAAGAAGCTAGCTGGAGAGGATAGAAGAGAGTAGGATGAAGCGGAGGTGTGGTGTGGAAGCCCTATGCTTCACTCGGAAGCCAAGGGAATAAGAATAAGATTTTTCAATTCTCTGACCGATAACTGAGTGTTTATCAATGGGAAGTAACTCATTTTGTAGTGAATCATAATCTTCATTTGTGATCTCTCATATAATCACAAAATATTTGTTGATTATTTCGAATATCTGAACAGTGAACTTTGGTTGGTTGGTGTAAGGTGATCTCAGATAGACAATCTCAAACAAGTCCAATTCTACTATCTGTTCTTTTAACATAGACTCATGAAACTTTGTTTAATTTGTTATCAGGCATGTGTTCAAGGTGTTTCAGTGCCTTTTCATTCATTTAAATTGGATACTTTGATACGTATGTATCAGAGTATCGTCCTTATATACTTATTTATTCATATTTAGAAAGAAAATTAAAATTTGATAAAAACCAAACCAACTTTTAAAAATGATGTTCAAATTTAATTTAAATAAACTTTTTGTGGTCTCATGGATTCAGATTGAGTCAGCAAACTAACTAGAAGTCCTCAGTTTTATAACTATAGAACCGTACTTAGTGCATACTGAAGGAGAGTCCCAAACTAGGACGAAACAGCTGTCCAGTACTCTCAGGTATTCCAATGCTTCTCTCACTGACGTCAGCTAGCTATCAGTCCTTATAACTGTAGAAATGAACTTAGACTTCTTATGAGCTGTAGTCATTTCACGAAAAATATAAGACACCACTGTGTAAATATTTTTTTTTTGCTTAATTTGTTTCAAAATTTTGAATGAAGGATTTCTTTTAATTAACTAACATCTAACAAAAGCTTGTCTAAGAGACTGAATTGTATCACGAAGACGTGGACAGTATCCTTACTGTCTCTGAAAGTAAGTTGGAAGTAGGAAACTTACTGCGGAAATTCACCTGATGCCATCCTGATTTTAACTTGACATCCCAACACTAGGGGATTTATGATTGTAAATTCTCAAGTGTTTTTCAGGTGAAACGAAGGGGACAGTGGATGCTATTTGACACCTCGGTTCAGATCCAGAAATAAAGGAACAAAGTCACAATATTATTCACCAGTCCTTGAAAAATCTGTTCTCACATTACAGTCGAATAGGAAATACACGTCCTGAAGGAATTTTTATCCAGTATTCGATGTTGTAAAAGGAAAATGAGTAAGTTTTGTAAAGAAATGGGAGAGAAAATAATTCTCTTAAGCATTTCAGTGAAGCCTGTGTACAACAGTGCGTCATTTGATGGAGGTGATATAGAAGAAACAGTCAGATGAAGAGTTGTTAAAGTTCGTAGATGAATCTGTTGTGCTGCCTATCTAGTAATCTTCAGCACAAGCTAGCAGGTGCTTCAACAGTCTGGGAGTTAAAAGATGAAGGAGAATTGTAGCTCAAATGGAGGATATTTGAGTATTTGAGTAATGTCAGTCATCAGATGTAACACAGAGCTTCAGTACCATATCTCCATTCAACTCCTTTCTATGTGATCTTCTTCACCAAGCCCCACGAACACCAATTGGCTTTCATCTGCTTCTCTAACATTTTCCAACCTGTCACTCAGAGGCGCCTAACTCGCCGTTTCACATTCAGGTTCCGCTAGAGGGCCTGCTTTACGGGTGATGTTACTTGAAGCTCTTGTCAGTTTATGTCTAGTCCATATTCGTCTCCTTCTGTATATTCGCTGGGTGATAGGATCTTCACTGATTCTTTGCAGCGTCAGCGTTTCTTGTTGTTTAGGTTTCTTAACTTGCTATGTGATCTTCACTATCAGGCCAGGCAAATAATCTGTTGCTGAATGTCTGTAGCAAGCTGATGGAAATTTTCTCATGAAGCGCCAATCCCCTTGAAACATATAAAAGTACAGTCTTGACTGATTCTGACACTAGAAATTAGGATCCTGGAGCAGTAGATCTCCACACTGATATCGAGTTAATTAAATATATCTCACTTTTTCTTTACTGGCTCTGAAATCATCACTTCTGCCGCCTGTAATTCAAAAAACAGCTCCTAGATAAAAGAGAGAGGTGACTTTCCTCCTGTCTAGTGGTGATTGCTGTTGGCTGTTGTAATCAAGGTGCCTTCATCTTCTCCG